AGCATGCATGTGTCAAAAAAAGTACATTACTTTTTCAGAAAAGGACAACGACTATATTGCTGCATGAGAAGGCTCAAAGCCCAAAAGTGACAAGTTAGAAGTCCGAAATGGGTCGTTCCTAGTTAGGAATGAGTCGTTTCAGGTTTCCAAAATAGACTAAAAACCTAAGGTCAAAACGGACTGTTCCCAATCTAAAATGGGCCGTTCTAACTCAATTTGTTATGGGTTAATTTCAAATCCATAACAGGTCATTCTGATCTTGGAGCGGGCTGTTCCAAATTCAAAATTTACCAATAAGAAACTCATCCAGAATAGGGCATTCGATCATTGAAACGAGCCGTTTCGGTATGAGTTGAAGTTATAAATAAGGAGTATGTGAACAATGTAGGGCGAAATTTTTTAGCTTATTGAGGTCCGAAAATTTAGTCCTTAAAAGTCTATATAGAGTTTACACACTTCTTTTCTTCTTCCTCTTGTATTTCTTGTGTTTTGTGAGGTAATTGTAGTGCGAAAGACTGTCAAAAAGTGTCTAGATTCTGCCATTGAAAATCCAATAAAGCTCGATTAAGAGATATTTCATATAAAAATATTTCATTTAATCTATCATTCTTATCATACAACATTGTTAATCAATAAAAACAACCATGTAGATATCTTAGGTGAGATTGTGCAATTTTAAATTTCAATGTAAATAATTTATTAATAAAAGGGGAATAAATATTTGAATTATTATTCTATATTATGTTAATTTCATCATAAAGGTACCGATTTAGGACGTTGTAGGGTGCCTAACATGTAACCAACCCTCGAGCCCAATTCTAGTTATAAAGGTCAAGTTGGTACTTTTCAAAAACCCTTTTTTTCTTCTTCTGATGTTTTGAGTCAAATATCGGTGGCGACTCCCACTAATTGTTTTTCAAAACCATTAATTAAGGATTAGTCTAATTTTCAGACATTCCTTGATTATGAGATTTTCAAAAGGAAGTTTAAACCATTTGTTGGTAAGATCAAAATTTTTCAAGTTCTAATAGATGGCGACTCCACTAGGGATATATTAAGAGGGTCAGGCCCAAATAAATGATGAAATTAGCATAAGGATAAAAATTCATATATTTTATCCCCTTATCTTGTTTGTATTTAATTGATTGGCTTTAATATCATTAGATACAATTGTACACAAACCATTGCACACAACAATTTCCTCTATACTCGGGGGCTTGAGCATGTAAACATAGGGAGTGATTGATGTACGACCGGCCCAAGGATGGCCTTAGTGCCTACAAGCTTTGTCAAAAGTCACACTCAAGGTGATAATCGGTTACTCTAACCTGAAATATTGTGTCAAACTTAGATATTTTTCCGATGACGACAAAGATGATGGGTCCCTATAATGGGGGCACCTTGGGAGCTTGTAAAGACTAGTGAGATTAGAAACGCCCTATACAACGCACTTTTCTTGACAAGGACCATAGACCAAGGATTTGGACGTGACTGTTCACGGGTGTACATTTGTTTAAGCATATGTGTGTTGCATTTGTTGTGTTCTTCTATTTATTTCAAACAAACAAGAATTATAAGCAAATAAAGAAATATTAATAACAAAACATATTAAAAGATAAAAAGAAACTAACACCTTTTCTGTATGCCCTAATCTTATAGCATCATATAGGATAGTTTATTTCAAGAAAAAAACAAAAAAAAAATGTGTATAGAAAAAAAAAAGGTCATACATCATAACCTATAGTTAAAAAAATGAAAATTTAGGCAAAAAATAAATATCATGCATCTCTTAGGATAGTACATTAGCATACACCCATTAGAAATGGAAGGCATAGATAATAGCATGCAAAGACCTTTAGGAAAAGAGAACATTCCAAACTACAAGGGTCATCAATCTATTTATATTTAATAAAAATTACATTGAATTCTCTTTAAATATATGCATGACTTCCTTATTAAACGTATAAAACATGTAAAACCACCAGCAATGAAGTACTGGTTTGAACTTAAAAAGATACGCAAGTATCTGATTCCTTTATCCACAGGAGAAAGCTTTTTGATTTTTGTTTTTTAATTTCTGCAACGTGTGTGATAATAAATACATGATGGTCTGGTTAAAGTGTCACATGAATGAACTATTTCCATCCAATACCACTCAACAAATTATCTGCTTGGTCCAAGTCCACTCTTCGATGCTATCATAGTTACGTTATCCAAGAAATTAAGCCTTAGAAGAACAAATCAAAAGAGTGAGAATCCAATTCTAATATTCTCAAAGCATATATAACTATTATAAGTAACTTTCTATGTCATATTATTATTATTTTTTTTTATTCGTCCTTGAAGTATTTACATGTCACATTATTATTTATTTATTTTTTGATTCGTCTCTGAAGTATCTACCGCTGACAGCAGTTAATCTCCTCGCTATGTTGGAGGCACCTCAAAGGATGGGATAGCTGGCTCCAAGATTTAACTCGGCTGCATACACAAGGCAGGATTCGAACCCCTGACCTTGCTTAAACGTGGATCAACCCCTATTGTTAAACCACACACTTGAAGTTTCTATGTTACATTATTGTTATATTAACTTTAGCCTATTTTATAGATTGTTTAAATTTTAACAAAATTATTTATAAAAATAACTCTACTAAAATTTAAATAACTCTTAAAATAAGTCAAAACTGATTTAGTTCCAGAAATGGAGATGCTCTTAAATATTCTTCCTTCTCCTCGTGTTCCACCCTCATATTTTTCTATTTCATAGTCCCTACCCTACCCACCAACAACTCTTTCACTTTTCAACTTTTTTTTCTTTCCTTTTTTGTTTGCTTTCAATATTTAATGTTACATGTCCTTAATTTCGGAAAAACCCTTGTTGGATATCTTACATGGGAAACTCACATCCTAAAAACCGTGACCCTCCTCAGTTTTCCAGAAACCTTGTTGAAGAGAGGTTTCCCTCTCACAAAAGCAGAACCTTTTCAACGCCGCCACCGCCACCGCGAGAACCACCACCTATGGCTTCTAAGAATCTTCATCATGGTTCTGGCTCAGGGAAACATTCTACAAAAGAGAAATATGCTCTGATTCCTGATAACTTCACTACCCTTGAACAGGTTCGTTGCTCTTACTTCTTTTTTCATTTTTCTTAAAAAAATTTAAATTTTTATATTTAATAGATTCAAAATATCTTGAGAGATTTTCCTTTTGTGATTTTTTTTAAATTAAATTTATGGATAATATGAAGTTTGAATCAGCTCAAAATCAATTTGCAGCGTTGACTAATAATGAAACAAAAAGTTTGCCGATCAGTGGATAATATATATTTTTCTTTGTTTGTTTGCGAGTGAAAAGTTAAATAAAGTTTAAAATATTCTATTATTTAAAAAGCATTATCTAGTAACTTTTTTTTAGAGAGTATTATCTAATGATGTGATGGGGTATGAAAAAGTTTAAAATCTGAACAGATTAAAATAATAGAAGATTTTCTTTTAAAAATATTTTTAAATGTTTTTTACTAATAAATAAAAATATATCGTTGTTTCTTGTTTTTATTTATTTTATTTGTTTTAAATATACATGACCTTTTATATTGGTTCACTTTTTTACATTTTTAATATTTTTTTCAAAATGTCTAAAACAATTAAATAATTTAAATTTGACTAAAATATATTTTTAATTTTTCTAAAATTTCTCAAGTTTATTTTTAGCTATTCAATTTTTTTTTTTAATTTTGATTTCACTAATTTAGAAATGTGCAACTTTTAATGGTTAAAAGTAGTTCAAATAGGACTTTAAAGTGGTTTAGTTGATTGAAAAAGGAAAAGTGAGAGAATAGAAAAAAAGATAGTGATATACATGACAAAAAAAAGTTGTAAAAGAACTTATAAACACTTCATCGTTTTATATGGACTTAAAAAAAAACTATAATAATATATATAATAAAAATTAATTTTTACCTTATATATATCTTCTTTTTTTATCTATTTTTTCGTTGAACAATCAAAATTTTATTTTATTTTTTTATTTTTTATTTCTCTTCGCCGTATCTCTTATTTATTTTCTCACTATCAAACATACCAAACATAACACAACTCAGCAGTACAACCAAAATCATAATTATAGTGTCCGAATGTTAGTTACAGGAAATTTAATGCCGGTAGGTTAACGTTTTAAAACAGTACTGTGCTGTCACTTTTTCTTTGAAGAATATAATATTTTTTTATTTTCCAAAAGTATTTATTTTTATAATAAAAAATTATATCCAAATATTATCCATTTAAAAATATATATTTTTATTCGTATCCATTTAAAAATGTATATCACAGCTACAAGTTTTTTCAAAAATTAAATTAATCTCGATACCCACTTGATGAACATGGATATGATGACACCTGTTCGAAAACGCGTTTTCATTATTATAGAAGAAAGTTGTCATAATCTGTCGGTTGGAAAGTACCTTTGCCTGTTGGGATATATTTTCGGATATAAATGAATATTGTGTCCTCATGATTGGGAATTAGAAGGGTGAGATAACTATTCTTGCATTATTTTATTTTTAGTAATATATGGTATTTTATTTAATATTAGTTGGACTTCTCTTTATTTATGTTAAAGTGTTTAGAAATTTTTTTATTAGATATATATAATTTTGTGGGTGGAAAAAAGAAGCAGAAATATATAATATTTATTTGGATAATTGTGGATGGAGTATTTAATTACATAAAAATAATATTATTTTTAATAATGGTTTATTAAATGTTAGAAAGATTATAGATGTTATTGAATATAGATTCTAAAAATAGTTGACAACGAGTTTGAATAAGAAATAATTAGTATACATAAATTGGTTAAATGAGTCATTAGTATATATTTAGTAATTATCTTAATTTTATATATAAGTTGGAGTACCTTTTGTACTCCTTTTCTTAATATTATGTTTTTATTATAAAAAAATTGAGTTAAATATATAAACTTAAATTTAATCAGTCAAATATAAAATTATTTCTTTTTAAGTTTTATACTTTTAAAAATTTTATTTTAAATTTTATTAAAAAATTTATAAATATTATCGCATAAAATTTATTAAATAGTATTTCTATTAACAAAAATAATATATTAAATCTTTTTGATGTTGTATATTTATCTCATTTTGTCATTTTTAAATACATTCTTAGTGATTTAATGAATTAAAATAAAATTTTAGAAATTTAAAACAATAATTTTAAATTTAAAAATAAAAAATCACTTTAAATTTAATAGATTATAAATATGTTAAGAATTATTTTATAATGGTGGATATAATATGTTAAGTGTAATTTTAATATTGAGAATTGAATATGAAAATATCAAGAGTAGTTAAGAGAGTTGTGAGTATACTTCCAAGAGTGTCTAAGAAGATTATGAAACTCCTATAAATTAAAATAGAATTACAACATGAATAAAAATTATTTAGTTGGGATGAGCAATAAAATTTTAATCTAATCCTTGTTTATCATAAAAAAATTCTAACACTTGTGTTTTTTCTTTCTAAAATAGAGTAAAAATAGAAAGGAAATTGAAAATATAAAAAAAAAAAATTGTTTTTAAAGAACAAAAGGAAAAAAATTATTTTTGTATGACTCACTAAAAAAATAATTTTCTTCCTAAATTGGAACCAAATGAGAGAGAAATATCTCTTTCTTTTCTCTTTTATTTAATTTTATAGAAATATATATAGAAATTAACAAATAATAAATAATTTTATAATAAGAAAAATAATATATTAAAATTCTTTTAATTATTATAAATATATTTTTATATAATTTATATATTTATTTTCTCTCTCTCTCTCTTTTTTTTTTCTTTCTATTTCTATCTAACTTTTCTTTATCAACAAAAATTGCATTGACAATAATAATGTTTAGATTTAGGATCTTATGAATATTATTTGAACTCTCCACTACTTGGTAGATTCTAGTGGTTAGGGGTAGCAAGTTTGACTCACCTCATTAGCAGGCCAAAAGTAGGATAGGTGGGCTGGCCTAATAGTAGTACTGAAGATGGGTCAAAAATTAAGATCCACCAAAATTAAATTTTTATTATTTTATCTTTAATTGATAAATTTAAATTTTTTTATTGTAATTGACAAATTTAATTACAAAACTTATAACATAAATTTATCCTTCAACTTTAAAACTAGAACACAAAATAATAAATTACAAAGTATTAAAAAAATTTAGTTTTCAATCAAGATTATTATTAATAATCTTTCAACAACACAAAATTATAATGATTTTTAAGAATGATATAAAAAATACTTATAGTTCTTTATTAATAAGACTACCCCATAATACAAAGTTAACAAAGTAAATATAAATGAAATGATAATCTTATGAAGTGATAAAACACAAAGTTACAAAATAAATTAAAAAGATATTTAACGATTAAACGAACTAACACACTAATCCATTTTGCACCAATATTTAGTTTGACAAGTTGATGGATTAGATGGAATGGGCTAGGTAGAATTAGTGAATTGAAATTTCTACCTGTCCAACCAATTTTTGACCAACTAACAAGGCATCTAGACAATAAAAGTTTTTTATTTTATTTCTCCTCCATTTCTATTATTCTTATTTTATTTTATTTTTTCATTTTCTTTCCCAACTAAATAAATTATTGTCTAAATTACAATTTTTTTCTATTTTTAATTTGCAATTTTAGTGTTCCATTTACTGAATGTTATTCTTAATGTTATTTTCTAAATAAGAATTTACTGAATGTAAATTTTATCAATACTATAGAATTTGGAAAAGATAAATGATAAAACTTTAAATGTGAATAGTTATATTTATTTATTGGTGACTCACGTGGTCACATGAAAATGTGTCTTTTTAAGGTATTTTGTTTTGGGCCACTACTAGTGGACTTATGGAACATGCAACACATGCGTTGGTCCCAAACCGTATAAAGAACATTTTAACGTGGGATGTCAGATAATATTCAAGTTTATCTCTTTTTAAATAATTAGATTTCACGAGTTAAAATATTTAAGTTTGATTTATAAAAAGGCTAAGTAATAATTTCAGAATATTCACAATTATTTGTTATATCATGTTGGCATATTATATTTTTAAATTAATTTTTTAATAAATTTTTAAAATAAATATTATTTATTTATCTTAAAATAAATGTTAAAAATTACAAATAATAATTTTAGAGAGATAAAAATATAAAAATAAGTATTTTTAGTCCTTATACTTATTTTTGTGATCTCTTTTAATCTTTGCTATTAATTTCTTTGTAATGACAAGCATGATTTTTGTGGGAGACGTATTTCACATGAAAAACACCAAATTGAAGACTTTTGTCATGTCAATACAAAAGAAACAGTGTTAAAAAAATTTAATAACAGATACTAAAATAAATTTTAAAAATCAATATAAAAATTAAAAATATCTTTTTAAATTAAAAAAACTAAAATATAAAATAAGAGAAATTATATATAAAAAAAAAAAAGTGTTTTAACCATATAGTTTTACATTGTTAAATTGAAATAATCATGATAGTCCACTTTTTACTTCTAAAATAGCAATAGTGAAACATTGCATCACATAGTTTATGTAACCAGTAGTATAGTGTAAAAAGCACCCTCTTGGATACCATTCTCCAAAATTGTCTATCTGGTTGGTGACAAACAATCAACTTAGTGGTGGAGAAAAAAAGCTAAAAACTGTCGGTTATTTATATCATCTCCTATATATGGTAATAGTTGCAACATTGAATCTTCTTAAAATTTCTTATAAGTAAACTAGTTTTCTCCAAATGACACTAATGATGGTCTTAATTGTGTTGGAATACGAACAAAATAGCATATTATTATAACAATAGGATGAATATTGATTTATAAACATACACAAATCTTTATAATATGAAATCTTTTAAATAATGATAAAAAGTAAATCTATAAAAATTTAAATTCAAGATAAATAATATAAATAATATCATACTAATATAAAAATGTGTATAAATGTATTTGATACACAACAAAATACCACACTCTTATTAAAAAAATTATATCTCAACAACATACAAATAATAAACGAACCATCAAATTGAACTCAGCAATATTCATTAGTGAATTTCGGTATTAGTGTCCCCTGATGATTTTATTTTATTACCTTTATACAGGTTACAACTGCCTTGAGGAACGAAGGTTTAGAATCATCAAATCTCATCCTTGGAATTGATTTTACCAAAAGCAATGAATGGACTGGTAAGTAGTACATAGACAAAAAAACAACTGAGTAATTCTATGTTCCACTGCAAATCCTGTGTAAGATGACATGAATCCATAATTGAGAACTAAAATTTGCATGAAAGTGATTTTTGGTTTTACATTAAGCACGGGATTTGGTTGTTATTTATTTATTTTTTAAAATGCATCAATTTGTACAAGTAGTTCAATGATGAGTATAAGTATCGTCTCTTCTAAGATTTACGTAATACTTAGCACAAAGATAAATCATTTTTTAGTGTTTTTATGAACATTTGGAACCCAAAAGTTGATTTTAACACTAATGAAATATGTTGGGATTTAACTTGAGCAAACCATCTTCTCATGCTTAGAACCCAGCTTTAATCTTGTTATAAGATCATAAATTATTATTCAACTCACAAATATACTCAAACCTTAACTCTTAAAAAGTTAGAGTCTAAATTTATTGACTAAGTAATTAATTTATTTTGCATACTTTAACCAAGAACTCAACTTTAACAACAAGAGTTTATAAATGACTAATAGCATGTACTCTATTCCTAGAGGTAAATACCATTAGATGCACTACTTCAGATCAAAGATTCGCAAGTATTTTTCAATCACTTTAAACCCACAAAATCAAGTTAAAGGAGATCAAACCATAACAACCATTAAGCAAAGAAGAGAACAATAATATTGAATAATAACTAGGATTAATAACTAAGAATGTGAACATGAGAATATGTATGATTACATTAATCTCAACAAAGGTGAACTTAGTTACACAAAGATATGAAGCACAACAAAAATGATGAGGAAATGAAGAAACTTGATTTTGAAATCATGAAAACTCTTTTTGTCTCTTCTCATTAATGAAATGTCAACATTTTGGCACTAAGCGAGGAAATCCACGCTTAACGTGAGATAGGGAATAACAATTGAGGTCTAGAGCTGTGGCACAAAAAGTGAAGTTCCACACTTAGTGTGACAAAATAAATCAGTTTACTAAACTATTTGGAAGGTTGGTAGTAAGCATTGGATTCCACACTTAGCGCTAATACTTAGTTAAATTTCTTCTTCTCTCTTGATACTTCACCAAGCTTTTACTTTTTTTTTTTTTTTTTTTTTTTTAATTTTTCTCATCTTTTTTCTTCTTTTCAAAAAAACA